ACACATTTAATCTCGTCCTTTAAAGAAATGGAATCGTATAATAGAATGCACATTAAATTCTTCGTTGTTAATTATTTGTATTCAACGATAATTATAGCGCGAGAACAAAACGACGACACAGAGACAAGAAGGAGACGAAGGTCTCTGTGTCGTCGTTTTGTTCTCGCGCTATAACCATCGTCATGCCATACCAACTATAGCCCAAGCTGCCACACTTCTAAGTTGCATTCAACGTTTTGCCAAACACATCGACTGTAGTTCTGTGATATTGTTTTTGTTTTCTTTGTTCTTTTCTATTTTTTGTAAACCTGTTCGCTGCTGTACCATTTTCATTGCGCCCCCCCCCCCCCCCCAGCTGCTTCGATACGTGTCTGGAGTATTCGATAAATAAACAAATAAATAAATAAATAGATAAATAAATAAATGGGCGAATAAATAAATAAATCAATAAATAAAGCTACCAAAGAACATTCATTAGCTCGACCAAAATATGTCTTTTATTATTTTTATTTTTTTCACCAAATTTCGAAGAATATTCTAACCGAGTCATATATATTCGTTTCTCGTCCAAACGGTTAGCAAAGCAGCCATGAAATTTTTCTGGATTTTCACCGCCGTGGTTTTGAAGCACGCCATGGTATTCGCCTATGGAGACTTATGGGTTCAGGCACAGTGGGCGGAGTTCAAGGCCACGTATCGTAAGTACACCTGTTTCGTTTTAGTTATCTGAACGCAAAGCACGCTGAAAAAGAATGATTGATTCTTTTCCCTTTTCTACTATCGCCAATATATATATATATATATATATATATATATATATATATATATATATATATATATATATATATATATATATATATATATATATATATATATATATATATATATATATATATATATATATATATATATATATATTATGGGGAGTCTGGCTTCGGCTGCCGTAGAATTAAGGGAAAATAAGTATTCGCCTCTAAAAAACTGTTTATTGGTGACGTTACGATCGGAGACCGATCTTATCAGACAAAATTTAGTAGGCTCCGACGCGCTTTTATGCCATCGTCCAGCCGAGAGAGAGAGAAAACGAAAAATATACATATACAAGTGGCCCAACCACCCATCATGCACTGATAAGCAGCCAAACGGCCACGTGTGCGTACTACGCATAGCACGTGCATTTTGTGCAAAAAAAAACGCACCTGGGCCAGCGGCAGTACCACCCATTTTACACTGATAAGTAGTCAAACGACAGGTGCATTTTGTAACGAAAAAAATCAAAAACGAGTTGTCAAACAACACACAATCACGGCAAGTTTTTTGGTCCAAGTGGCTAAATTAAGCAAATTCCAGTGACAAAAAGTTTGACTCCTATGATTCACCTCTTATCAGCTTTCCCTGTAGCTTGTAAAGAATACCAAAGTACATTCCTTGCAATCATTGTCCCTGCCGCGTTCAACCTGTTCTCCCCTCCATAGTTGCTCTTGAAGCCTGGTGAGGAGGGCTACGTTAGAACGATGTGATAAATTCTTAAAAAAAGAGAAAAAGAGAAAAGAAAAAACAACAAACAAGGGCTACGCGGGTCAAAGCTCCATGCCAGGAAGCTACGATCTCCGGTCTGTGGCTCAAAAATATTAAATATATAATGGAGGTTGTTTTTCCAATTTTTACCTCGGGGGTTGAATGTGTCATTTTACTTGGTTGTCTGGTGAGTGATTTCTTTGAGGGGGGGGGGGGGGGGGTAGAGATTCTTCGACAGTGGTCCACCTTTCTCGGAATGTCCCTGCCCATGCCGCACATCCAAACACGTGCTCCGGGCGAAATCAGAAGAAAAGGAAAATGATAATTTAAGAAAAAAGAAGAAAACAGAACAAGAAGTAGATAAAAGAAACTAAAACGTTTGGTTAGGATAAATATTATCCTAAATCTTCCAGAGCGCGAATTGAAGAAAGTAGTCTTGGCGTGTCATTTAGACCAGCTTTTAATGTATCAAATTTATAAATCATGTATGATTCGCGCTGTCCACGTTCCCTTGTGCTAGAGAAAGCGCTTTGTAAGAGTGTGATCTTTATGGAATTAAATGGGTGGTTTCCGCAGTTAATATGCCCAGACAGAGGCAGACTCGGAAGTGAATGAACATGTGAACGGTAGTTATTGAAGCGGATACGGAAGGCTGCGTCAGTCTGTCCTATAAATTTAATACATTAAAAGCAGGTCTAAATAACACTCCAGGCATACTCTCTCCGATTCGCGCTCTGGAAGATTCAGGATAATATTTATCCTAACCAAATGTTTTAGTTTTCTTTCTTCTACATCTTTTTCTGTTTTCTTCTTCTTTTATTTATCATTTTTCTTTTTTTCTGATTTCACCCGGAGCACGTGTTTGGGTGTGCGGCATGGGCAGGGACATTCCGAGAAAGGTGGACCACTGTCGAAGAATCTCTACCCCCCCCCCCCTCAAAGAAATCACTCACCAGACAACCAAGTAAAATGACACATTCAACCCCCGAGGTAAAAATTTGACAAACAACCTCCATTATATATTTAATATTCTTGAGCCACAGACCGGAGATCGTAGCTGCCTGGCATGTGCCTATCCTGCACGTGCTGAGCTTTGACACGCGTAGCCCCTTGTTTGTTGTTCTTTTCTTTTCTCTTTTTCTCTTTCTTTAAGAATATATCACAACGCTCTAACATGGCCCTCCTCACCAGGCTTCAAGAGCAACTATGGAGAGCGAGAACAGGTGGAACGCGACAGCGACAATTATCGCAAGGAATGTACTTTGGTATTCTTTACAAGCTACGGGGAAAGCTGATGAGAGGTGAATATGAAGAGTCAAACTTTTTATCACTGAAATTTGCTTCATTTAGCCACCTGGACCAAAACACTTGCCGTGATTGTGTGTTGTTTGACAACTCGTTTTTGATTTTTTTCGTTACAAAATGCACCTGTCGTTTGACTACTTATCAGTGTAAAATGGGTGGTACTGCCGCTGGCGCAAGTGCGTTTTTTTTTTGCACAAAATGCACGTGCTATGCGCAGTACGCACACGTGGCCGTTTGGCTGCTTATCAGTGCATGATGGGTGGTTGGGCCACTTGTATATGTATATTTTTCGTTTTCTCTCTCTCTCGGCTGGACGATGGCATAAAAGCGCGTCGGAGCCTACTAAATTCTGTCTGATAAGATCGGTCTCCGATCGAAACGTCACCAATAAACAGTTTTTTAGAGGTGTATACTTATTTTCCCTGTATATATATATATATATATATATATATATATATATATATATATATATATATATATATATATATATATATATATATATATATATATATATATATATATATTATGCGACAATTGGACACAACACAAATGTTTACCTTATATATATCGTTACAGTTTCATCTGGTGGTCCAGCCGCAACTGTTAGGATAAAATAAATAGCTGTTTTGTTTTGTGTTCAACAATGCAGCACTTTCGAATTTGTAAGGAGCGAAGCTCCCAAGGCCCGCACTCCGCCGTCGCCGTCTGAACTCTCTGTGCCGGGCGCGCGTGCCGAGTAAAACAAATATAGGTGCGCGTTCCCGGCGGATCCGTAGCTCGCGCTGTGCCTTGCGCCGCACCCGAACCGCATCACCAACCACTCATAATGACCATTAGTCGTGACCCGTGGTCGTGACAAATGCAGTTTTCTGAACGTCGTCGGAATGCATCCCGACATGTCATTATACCAACGTTATACTTCTATATCGTTGGGAAAACGTTCGCCTTTCGCAAGTGCACATGGTCCAGAATATCATGCACGTAGAGTTGGTTGATCTGGTACTGATATGGCGCTGAGCTTGCGATAGTCACTATGCAGACGTGTACCTCCTTCGCCTTTCTTTTTCACTAAGATGACTGGTGCAGCATAGGGTCACAACACCTTACTCAATGTGGGCGTCAACTTGTTTCTTAAGTTCCGCTCTGTCTGCTTGTGAACATCTCTATGGAGCTCGACAAATAGGGACAGCGTTGGTGAGTGCGATACTATGCTGCTCCGTCATGATGCGTTTAATATCCGTCTATAGGATTTCGAGAAGATCTCGTCGTACTTATTTAAAAGAGAGTCGAGCGATTCGTGTATACTGACAAGTTTTCTGAACTCGGAGTGCTCATTGGTGGTGCTTTAGTGGTTTTCTTTTCATTCTGATTAGGTAGTTCAAATTTTTAAGTCTTTGTCTTACTGGCTGGCTTTCCGAATTTACAAAACGATTGACGTATTCGTAGCGCTGTCTGCCAATATATAATTACTTTCTCATGCATAGCAGGACGTGTGCATAAACCTTTTTTTGTGACCTTGTCACTTTGCAATTGAGCGTTTACGCAACACAAGGTTCTCGTGCTTGATGTAACTTGCTGAACAATGATGCTGAAGTCTCTCATCAACTGAACTTTGATCTATTTGAACACATCTTCACTGATACAAGTAATCGTTGCTCCTGTATCAAGAATTGCAGTTATTAGCATACCATTGATGAGAGCGTCGAACTGTAATAATGGAACTCTTGGTCACTCTCCTCGTTTGCAAGTCTAGCTTGTGTAGGCGAAAATAACACGTAAATATAACGTTGCATGTAAACGCTTGTCCTTGACAAGCCAAATGCATAGTGTCTCTTTTTTCGTAGATAAAAATATTAATAAATTCAGAGTTGATCATGTTAATGTACAAGACCATGCTCCATGATTATCGAACTGTGTGCGTAGCTAACTTCTCTGCGTTCTCTATGCTGTACAACCCATTAGCCACGTGGGTTATTGATCCAAATATTTCGTGCCCATTTCCTATTTTTAAATTAGTGAAACACATACTGATTTGTCTTGATGTGATGTTTTTCTTCGAGGAAGGAAGGTATTACAGTAGAAAATAAGTAATACTAGAAGTATACCGCAAAGAATTAGGTCGGATGTTATTTCACACCTAAGGTCTTCAATGGGTTCTTTGTTTCCCTTCACTTCAGGGAAGAGCTACGGCAGCGTGGAGGAAGAATGGTTCCGCCAGAAAGTATTCCTTGACAATCGCTACATGATCGCCAAGCACAACGAGCGTTATGCGCGAGGCCTTGTTTCGTACCAGCTAAAGATGAACCAGTTTGGAGACATGGTGAGGCTTCGGTCTGCTGATGATTGAAAGTCGATCACATATGTGTCCATATCAGTCAGATAACTGATATGGACATCCTGAACGTTTGAACATACAAGTTGAGTGCACCCGCACTCAACTTGTATGTTCAAATTGAGTGCGATGAACGCCTGGTAGTACTAAGCTCCTGATGGCACGTACGCGTTGCTGCGCGGGAGCGCGTGGCAAGTAGACTCGGTGCCGCTCTCTCTCCCTATTGAGGGAGAGGGCATTGGCGTCGAGCATGCATGCCGCGTGCTGACGCGTTGTAACGCGTATATGTGGTCAGGCCTTTAGGCATCAAACTTTCCATAGACTGACACCCACCCTCACCTTCGGATATATCTTGTACCCGCCCCTGGTAACATTTAAGACGTCTATACGCCACGAAAATGTGCACTACTCTTGCGCTGTGCAGTTGCAGCAAGAGTTCGAAGAGCTGGTGGGTATCGGCGTAAGAGTCGGTGACAAGCCGCTGCGCGCAACGAACGCGTCGACGTTCCTGCCCCCGGAGAACATGGACGCCCCGCTGCCCAAGGCAGTCGACTGGAGAAGCACTCTTGTCACACCAGTCAAGGAGCAGGGCCAGTGCGGCTCCTGCTGGGCCTTCAGTGCGGTGAGTGGGCGCTCCTGCCTCGTCCAACACACCTGACTCATTTTTGGGGGGCTCGTTGATTGCATTCAGTGCTGAACGGTTTCATCGCCCGCGGTCTCTTACGCCAGCGTAGCTCTTGCCGATTGGCCGACTGTCTGTGACCTCCTGACGCCGTGTAGCTCTCGCCGAGTGGTGCCCCCTCCTCGCACTCCTTCGACCATGTACCGCATCTTTCCTATCTCTTCTCCTTTCTTCTGTTTCTCCTGTGCGGCGAGTGCTCTCTTTTCTTTATCGAATTCCTACTATTCTTTTTATGCCCATTGTCCGATCCCCTACAAGTCACAGTGCCGTGTCGCCAATTCGCCAGGCAGAAATTAGGTGCCTTTTTTTCCTATCTTCAAGAACTAATTTTCTTGCGCTGCTTTCTGCGATTTCGGTAGGGCGCGAAGCTCTGTGGGTTGTCCGAGAAAACTGATGTCGTCAAAACAGAGGCTCCTGAGATAGGAAGGCGTGTGGATAATAGAATATCAGAGCGGTCCGCTGCTGTTTAGCTTGGGGAATAGCGCATGCTTCGTGGCATCGCGAAAAAGGCGGATTTTCTAACTTGGCAAATAAAACCCGCAGGATTTTTTCATTCGTTCGCCTAAAGATGAATGGAAAACGAAAGGCATCCTGCTTGGCTATTTTACCGTCCAGTTTATGTCAAAGTCCAAACTATCACTAATTAACCATCACTAATGTAGCTTGCTCTTATATTAACTACGAGATTTCTTACCAGGCACATAAATATGAACATACAAGGGCGTCCCCGCATTCCGCCTCTATCGAAATTCGGCGGCCGTGACAGCAAATTAAACCCGCGTCCTCGAGGTTAGTAGCGCTACGCCTTATCCGCTAACATCGCTAAGTTACATGAAAGCGATACAAAACAGCAGTGAACTTACTTGTGCTAATAAGACATCTTTTTCTTTTTGTTACTACATTTCCGCAATTTATCGATGATACATTCACTTTAAAAATGAAATCAAGCTTAATATTTCATTTTTTGAAAGTGCTGCAAAAACACACCTATGGCAAGTGAGCATTATAACAAATAATAGTACGTCGTTCGCAATCTCTCGCTCAAGTTCTGTGCGTATGCGTAGGCATTCCATGTCCGCGAGTGCACGTGTAATTTCCTATTTTGTTGGGGTGTAAGGGAGAGAGGCAGAATGGTCTCAAACAGGTTGGTTAACATATCAGCTATCAGAAGGACAGCTGAAGACATAGGCATTGGTTAGCTTAGTAGCGTTACCTTGTACCACCATTTAGTGCTTATTTTGCGCCGCAGGTCTTGTATAACTTTGCATTCAATATAACATTATTGCGATCTACCTTCACCAAGCTAGACAATATTTTTGTTTTTACACGATCTTGCTTGCTCCATCTTGTTCGTGCATTGGCGCGTGGGGCTATTAAAAACGCCAAACACGTGTTCGGGTGAAAACTTCGTTGTGTCCGATGTGTTCCCACATCTTCACGGACTGAGATATATTGAGGGGAGCTAGTCATGTAATGTTTATGCTTTCATAATAAGTTAAAAACTCACGGGATCGCTTATGGATTCACCGCAGATGACTCGATGGCAAAAGATATCTCATTGTGTGCATAAAGTTTCATGAAATTAAATATAGAGGGGACTGACTGCGGCACTGTTACCATTCAGCGACCATGGGAATGATTGGGATGTACCTAGTCTTTGTGTTTGCGGGTGGCGAACACACTTGTGGCTTCATTTATCGCTGCGTTTTTCGTTTCGAATGAAAGAACAAACTGTTTTGAACTTCATGACCCTATTTGAATTGTTGGTCGTAGAAGGTGAAGGTGGTGAAGCGTAACTGTCGAACACTTGCCGATTCTTGTTTCATGATAAAACAGCTCCAAGTCATGCGAAGCCAAACGGAGCATAAAATACGAATATTGATTCATTGATTTGTGGGGTTTAACGTCCCAAAACCACCATATGATTATGAGAGACGCCGTAGTGGAGGGCTCCGGAAATTTCGACCACCTGGGGATCTTTAACGTGCACCCAAATCTGAGTACACGGGCCTACAACATTTCCGCCTCCATCAGAAATGCAGCCGCCGACGCCGGGATTTGAACCCGCGACCTGCGGGTCAGCAGCCGAGTGCCATAGCCACTAGACCACCGCGGCGGGGCAAAAATACGAATATTAGACAAATCAATGTACATGCACCTCAGAATAAGCTGCATTCCAACGCAGCTTTTCGACGACGTTAGTCCAGCGGAAAAACCCTTCCCTACCCGCCCAGTTTCAGGCACTATAGTCTTATCAAAAAAATCTATCTCAAAACACTGCATGGTTTGCTCCTCCCCAGGTTTTTTTGTTAAACGAGCTGAAGCTCCCTTCCCTACATCCCTCGCTACACACCTTTTGTTTTGTTGTTGTTATCAGCGGATGGCATTATTAACCTCCCGTACCATGAAGCTTTCTGCACGTGACGTGGTGCTGTACTGCCTCTTGAATCGCCCCGCTTTTGGCCAAGCGGCCATGGTGGTTACGCCATCGTATGTCACAGTGACGTGACAATAAGGTTCGGCGATCTGCGACGCCATGATGACGCCGCGTATACACACCGCGTACGAAGGCATCCAGTTTTCGGTACCATTGGCGTTGACGCCGATAGCTATACGTCCGATACCGCTTTCTTTTGACGAGGCGTACTAGTTTTCCCCCTTAAAACACAGGCGGGTGCCATCGAGGGCCAGCATGCGCGCAAGACCGGCCGACTGGTGGAGCTGAGTGTCCAGGACCTGGTGGACTGCTGCGGATTGGCCTACGACAACACCGGCTGCATCGGCGGACTCATGGACAATGCGTTCCGCTGTGTCCGAGACCGTGGCGGCATTGACACTGCGGCCAGCTACCCTTACATTGCGCAGGTATTTACATACACGCAACCCGAGGCAATGCTCCAGCTACATGTTATAGTGTATACAGCGAAACCTTAGTGATGCGAATCACGCGGGGTCCCCGAAAATATTCGTATCATAAAAAATTCGTATCATCCAAAAATATGAAAAATAGCCCGCGACAAGTGAAAACTGTTGCATAAGTTTTCAATAAATGTTTCACAGGGCCGCAGCAACGTCCCGAACACATCTGAATGATTGCCAGCGAATGTTTTAGGTATCAGTGATCATACTTGCGCTCGTAAATATACGGCCCGTGCAAGTATGTGTAATTAATGAACCAGCTAGTGGTGGGCACTGTGACAGCTAGATAGTCCCTTGCCGATATTTGTACGCTTTTTCGAGTGACGCTAGAGTACTATAAAAAAGGCGTTTAGCACGTGTATACTCGCTAAATGTTGAATTCCAATGGCGGAGTAGGAGCAGCCAACAGAATCTGCGAGCGAGCATTCAATTCTGGCGTAGAGCAACGCCTCAAAATCCGCGATTGGAATACAATTCGCGCTGTCAGAGCAAGTATGTAGAAAAAGGTAGAAGTGGAATTCTTTGAGTTGCTTAGAATACTTCGCGTGTAGCATTCCATCCCGCTAATTTCACTGTCAAATTCTTCGTACGCGGTTAATGGCTTTCACTCTGCTACGGACTCATTTGCCCAGTCGGCTAAGTAGTCCACCATTACTACCAAAACACGCGACAGTGGCAGCACCCCCAGCGGTCAAACACCCCGTCCCGTCATTGTCACGGGAGGACGGCACATAGAAGTTCCGGTCCACTCCGCCGATTTCGGCGGAGCAGCTTTTCTGCTCCATGGAGTCCCTCCCACTCTGAATCCACTCCAACTCTTTCATATGCACCTTGACTCCCGCCTTCTATCTGCCGTTGAAATGCACTCACCCCAAAACTAGCAGAAAAACTTGCTCCGACTCCGCCATTGGAATTCAACATAAGCTATAGAAACAATAAAATTAAAACCACTTTCATCGGCAGTTATTTTCTTTTTATCGTGGTGGTGCTGGGGGTGTGCTTCGACCGTGCCTGCACAATCGAAGAGTTGGCAGCTGTGCGTGTTGTTAACACTCTCCCATGTCGATTTTGTGAAGCCTAGCTTCTTTGGCAATAAGGCCGTAAGGCTTCCTCGTGCAGGCCTCGTCCACCTTTCATAGGATGTCTGATGCACAAGGAACATGACTTGCATCAACGTGAGAACACAGCACCACATAAACAGTGCGCATGAAAGCACTAAAAAAGAGAAAAAAAAAAGCGCGATAGCAGCCCTATTTGTGATTACGACACGAGCGCCATCTGCGCGCGGGCTTTCAAGATGTGCTTGTAGCGTCTTCCACGACAGCGTGGGCACCACCTGTGGCACCTGTTCGTGCCTGTGCGGTGTCGTACCACGTTTGTATCAAACATGCAGGCAGGAAAACTGTCATACCAAACGTCGCGGGGTGAAAATCGGTTCGCAAAATCCGTACAGGCCAATGGGCTTTGGCTGGGACGAAAGAAAAATTCGTATCACTCCGGAAGTCTTCTGGGGGGACCGATTCATATGGGGTTACATATAACCTCCAGTACCCGCCCTCTTTTTTAAGGGGAACCCTGCACACGCTTATGATTACGTCTACTCACTCGTAACAGATTGAGACAGAGCGAAAAAGCTTTGCAGTTGGCCTTTGAAAATCGCACACTGCTGACGACGCGCGTGGACTGCAGGACGACCAGTGCAAGTTCAACAGCAGCACTGTTGGAGCCTCGGTGTCCGGCCTGATGGTTGTGCTGCCACGTAAGGATGAAAAGATTTTACAGACAGCCGTAGCCACTGTGGGACCCATCTCGGGAGCTGTCAACGCCAGGCTGCGGGGCTTCCGCTTTTACTCTAAGGGTAATCTAATCTATCTATCTATCTATCTATCTATCTATCTATCTATCTATCTATCTATCTATCTATCTATCTATCTATCTATCTATCTATCTATCTATCTATCTATCTATCTATCTATCTATCTATCTATCTATCTATCTATCTATCTATCTATCTATCTATCTATCTATCTATCTATCTATCTATCTATCTTAACAGTCAGCCTTTGTTTTACTGTCGGGATGATGCCCAGCAAGAGTAGTCTATACTATGTATTTATGGTACGCTACAGCGCTAAAGTACACCACGGACGGAAGGAATACAAACGATGACGACAAGCGGTGACACTTGAATGAACGTAACTGCAGTTTTTCAATAAAGGTTATTGACAGTTAAGCGCTCGTCGCCGTCGCTTGTGTTCCTTCCGCCTGTTGTGGGTTTTTGCGCTATACGTATGTGCCAACAAGTCCAACTCACCAATGTGCAAAATCGGCTGGGAATTCTGTGACCCGTTTGGCACAGATACGCGGGACCTGCGTGTGCTAATCAAGCTGTGTAGCTAAGTGTTATAAGGCATAGAAAAATATCCTAAATACAGGAGGGGAGGGGGGAGCGAGGAGCAGCTGCCCCCTTTGCACTCCCCCCGATGACGCCCATAGGGCCATATTCTGAGACTATTTGCGTGACATATCTATTATTGTCGCAACCCACGCAGGCGTGTACAGGGACGACTCCTGCACCTTGGGTGAAGTGACCCACGCCGTGCTAATCGTCGGTTACGGAGTCGCCGACAATGGGACACCCTACTGGATCGTTAAGAACAGGTGAGTCTCCGTTTATCGCTTCATTCAAACGTTGTAACCAAGTTTTACCCTCCGACGCACTAAAAGGCCGCGGGTTCCTTTAATGCGACTTAAAAAGTGGTCTAGCACGCATGTAGGTGTATATTCTTTGGCACTGTTTACAAAGTTCATTGTTGATATTATCAATTATTCCGCGTTCTACGACAACATGTTAGAAGGAATGTACAGCAAGCCCTGGAGCCCGTATATATATATATATATATATATATATATATATATATATATATATATATATATAGGCAGCGCAAGGTAAACGAGACGCATATGCAATGCAAGCTGCCGTATTAGTTCATTTTTAAGCCAAACTCTTTCTTGAAGACCACCTGACATCTCCTCCTGATTGTCTTGGCTTCACGCTTCCTCAATGAAGTGAGAGCGCCACTCGTCCACCTTAAACCACACTTCAGAAGTTACATGCCTTTTTGTACCATTTGCGTTGACCGTGCGGAGTGTCTTTTTCAATGTCGACAGAAAGGTGAGCGATGCCAGGCTCGCGCCTTAATAACCCGCATTAGTCAACTGCAAACGAAGTAGTATTTGTTTAAGGAGCCAACATTCCGAAGTAATTTATGGGAGTGCAATAAATTGAGAGCGTCTAGCAGGTTTCTGAGGGAATCTTTATACAGTGGGTCTTTCACACGCAGCAGAAAAAAAAATCTTACCAAACTTGCTGACCTCCACATGCACTGCAGTTTCATTTAGTAAATAACGCATGATGTGATAGTATACCATGCTGCAAGCAGTGCTTTCGACATGGACGCCGACAATTGTTAGTCCGCGATTCTGTGTATCCTCCTCAGTTTATGCCAATACACGATGTCCATGTCGAAAGTGCTGGTTCAAACATAGTGTTGTAGCATCTCACTTCACATCACTAATAAGTAGCCCATCAGAAGACAGTAATATCCAACACATAAACCCTTAACGATTTGCGTACCGAGTGAGAGGGCGAGGTGAGACCATATTTTGTATTAGAGAAAACTAAAACTCACGGGTGCTACGGAACAAAACCGTAATAACAGTGCGAGGGCCACGTGACATGCAGTGTGCGAATGAGGATCAGCTTTGACTAGCTGGGTTTTTAAAATAAACATACGCCTAAATCCATGTACAAGTGTGTATTGCAATTTGACCATAGTGAGATACGGTCGCCGTGGCCGGAAATCTAGCTCGTGTATTCGAGCACAGCGGCGCAACACCCATGCCGCTGAAGTAACATTGCAGGTGCCACTTCATACTGCTTATCGCCTACGCTCAGGTGAACAAACGCGCCGATAACGTCCCGCTAAGTAGCCAATGGGTTCGCAATGGGAGGCCAACGGGTCAGCAAGAGAAAGAATATGTTAATGAGAAGGAGGAAAGGACGGCCTGGAAAGCGGGTTTCTATAGTGCCACTCCTCATTGGGTAAGGGGACACGGGATAAGAAAAAGAAATAGGGTGAAATACTTGATCACAAGTGAAATCGGCTTTTTGCAGACTAAGTTAAGAAATATAGCATTGTTACCATTATGCGCGCCATTGAAACTGGTGACGTATAGTGGCATTATCCAAAAGCTATCCTCGAAGCGATACTTATGACAAAGGTTGTGCGTACTTTATTCATTGGGGCAGCTCATCTAGACAAACCTCGTAAAATGCCCAGGTCAGAGAATACTTTGTATGTAAGAAAATAAAGGGCGTTGCGCCAATAATGAGTATACAACGCCAATGTTGAGGTATAATCGTCTCTCCCTTTTACGCTCTTTGTCTTGCAGCTGGGGCAAGAGCTGGGGTCAGGCCGGTTACATGCTGCTGGCCAAGGATGCCAACAATCAGTGTGGAATCGCCTCCCTGGCCAGCTTTCCGCTCGTCTGATGAGAGATCGCCCCGCCCAGCTTGGGAGACCAGACCAGCTACTTCTACCCACTGTGTACCACGCTTCACGGCGAGAGACGAAATGGAGACCGAGAATGCCTCGATCAAGTCATTTGCACGTGACCTTCGCGATACTTGTGCCAAAGACTTCCTTCTACACTGCACCGACCGACCAAAAATCTCCGTCGAGAAGAACGACTTCATCCGTTATGAGCACTTTTCTGCAGTTATGTTTCACCGCGCTGTAACCGAAAGGGATACTAAAGAGAAAGACGATTTTTCGCGTATTAGTGTACAGTATATGAGCGCGTTTTTTTTTTTTTTTTCGCTTGGTAAGCGAGAAACCGCGCGAAAAGAAAATGTGGGTGGAGACGCTGCCTTGAGATTCCCGCACCAAACACCATGACGTCACGGATTTCGAAGGCATCTACCGGGTTCTTCGTGACTTCTATGCAATAAAAATGAAGTACATTGTCATCTGCGGGTGCCTTAGACCGAGCATAGGATGTTTAGGAAATTTTCATCGAGCCAATATCGCGAAAATACGAAATATGCATTTTGAAATTGTCGACGTCACACGTGGAGATTACAGCGCGAAATTTAAAAATGACACTTCAACCTTACTTTTCCCCGCTAATAATGAACTTGTCGTATTAGGGTTCTCAGAGTGCAGTTTATCAATCTGAACCAAGCCATCCTTGCTCTTTAGTCTCCCTTTATAGTGCATGCTTTATGTTCTTTGTCAAAAACTTTAGAAACTTGAGCTTGACTTTGTAATTACCAGTGAACTCATTAACAGAATTATTCGTCCTGCGGGTGTATGTCGGTGCAAAAGAGAAATGGTCGAGATGCATGTACTGGGCTTCCAATTTAAAACAAAAAACATCAAAACCTAGCGCTGAGATGATCCATCAACTACATTTCTCGCATTGACTATGCCAACGTAGATATGTGTGTCACACTCTTCTACAAAATATAATAATGTAACAACTCAGCTCTTGAAGACTGTACTTACGGGAAACTTTATCTGTCTCATAGTAAAGTGAACAGAATATTTAAAGTGAGCAAGGGGATAGCGTGTAAAAAATGTCGGGTAAAAGATACGTTCAGTATAGAAAACCCTCTCAGACATCGTTCTTGTTTAAAGTGGCGCTTTGGAACATTCAATTTCATTCACTGTTTGGGAAACGCAGTTGACTCTTTCAAATGTGTTCAATAAATGATGATCCATAAAAATGCTCGACTGTATTTTTTTTATTGGATCTGCCACATCTCGACGAAGGCGTGCACCTTAAATGAGCCCTGCAACACTTTTTCAGCAATGTTAGAAAACGTTGCCGATCGGTAGTCGTGCCAAACGTTCTAGTGCAGCACGTGGCCTGGAGTTTAGGATTCTTAAATTGCGCTAGAAATAGCTCCCTCTGTTTTTCTGGTTTTGGGACGTTAAACCCCACATATCAATCAATACCAAATCCTCTGTTTTTCCTACAATTGATGTATGCCCTATTGAATGCCCCACATACCCAAAATTTGAGGCGATTGGCCATATGTGGAGGGTATAGGGGGGGGGGGGGGTTACGGACATTGGTGTTGGCGGCGGACATGTGCGCGTGACGCGAGTTGTGATCTCATGACAGCTTTCGCTGAAAAAAGGCTCTGGAAAGGCAATTATTCCAGCTTTAGTTGTGATGTGGTGCGCGTTCGACGCAGGCCTGGCGATTTTGTACAGTGAAATATGTTATGGGATCGCAATTCGGGTCACGCACAGCTGTCCGCCCCCGCCGGTGTCCGCAGCCACATCGCACAAAATTAAAAAAAAAAAGAACTAGCGCCAATGACACAGTGAGGTTCGAACCCGGGTTCGCTAGGTGCCAGCCCCGTATTATACCACTGGGCAACACCGGTTTTTTTTTTCATGGTATTCATTAAAGTACTAGGGCAATAAAGACAAAATCAAGCGAACAAAAGTACAATCGAATCGCGAAAGTAAGTGTTCAAGCATTACTCATGAACACTAAATGACTAACACAGCGCGAGTTCCTCACATGGAGAGTTCTTCACATCGTGTTATACAAACAAAAAAAGGGGTGAGGTAAAACAGTTCTCTAAGACGGAGTACCAGTCCGGTCTAAAGTCTAGCTCGTCGTAAATGTTTTTTAGGTGGATAGCCATTTGAATGAAGTGTGCGCTTGAAGAGGTTGTGGGCTGTTGAGAAACGGCGGACCGACCCCGCCGAAGCCACCACTGTTGCGAAAGACGGCGACGCCAACACGGCCCCGGAGGCGCCACTGCTTTCAACTCCGCCGGGAAGGTCACCAGCCGTTTGGTAGCGTATGTTTATCAGCTCGCGACTGCTTCTGCGCAGAGCTGATAAGACGAGCGGACGAGACGACGGTGAGTTAAACAAGGTTTATGTACAGCATATTTACAGAGGCGTTACAATTTCGGCACTGGGGCCGACAGAGACTCGAAGAGCCGAGCTCTTCTCTCTAACACATAGGTCAGTCTTTCGCCTAAGACCGCTGACTCACACACATGTCGGCACTCCGACACGGGGACGCCTCTCACATAGGACCGCCGATCGCGACGCGCCGCAGGGCTTCTTTTATTTACACCGGGTCCAACCAAAGTGTCCAATCAGAAGCGCCGCGGGTCGTCCGGGCAGATTCCGCCAATGGGGGCCGCCGCGCCATGCGTCAGACCACCTGACACGAGGACGCCGGCTCGCTGTCACGTGCGCAACTGACTCACTGCACGTGGGCCAGAGGAGCGCCGCGCGTGTTCACGCCGTCGAGGTGATCGCGCCAGGCAGACTGCGGGCTGGCCTTGACCCAGATTGCCTTTTTCAGAGGCACGGTCGTTTGACGAGGACTCGCTGGCATAACAGCACCCCCGCCGCCAGACAATGCACCGGAAAGACGAGCTGCTTCCACGGGGCTCGGATGTCAGGTGCGCTCGTTCACCAGGTCCCTCCAGGTTCGCCTCCAGGGCCATGGGGAGACTACAGCTCCAGACTGTTCCGGGAACACATCCCATTTTGACGACGGATCCCAGCTCCACGGGCTTGTCGCCACAACTTGCTGGCCAACTTCGCTCGTCTCTTCCGACCATCTTCGGTTTCAGCACTTGTCGATGGTTCTGCAACTTGCTAAGAACGGTTCGACAACAGACAACACACGACACAAGCAAGTGCCCTCGGTCACCCAACAGAACACCAGACAAAGTATAGAACAACAAATACCTATCTACGTGTCTATCGGAATTTCGTTCCCTCTACATCAAGAGGCACATGTGGGACAAAAGACTCCTAAAGTAAGAACTTGAATTTTTCACAATTACAACAACGCAACGAATTAGAATACCACATAAAGTTGGCCCCTTGAGAGCACTCTGAACGAGAGCGCTCAGCCCAGGTCGTGATGAGGTCAAAATTTTGCCCCGAATCGCCAGCGAGAAACCGAAAGGTTGAGAAGTTACTAGCTGGAACGCACTGCTCAATGCACCTGCATTAGCGTTTACCTTTCCCCTTTTTTTTTTTTCTTTAGCGAACGTCAAAGTTGCGCTGTGGAGCAACATGCTCCACCTCAGTAACCGGCCACTTTTAGGCGACGATACCTATGCGGCACCAAGAGCGGCTCACACTTTCGACGTTGCACAGGGGAACAACGATACGGCTTGCTACTGATTGACTCCTCACCGCTTAGCTCGATATCGTGTTCGATCACCGTCGTGTCTCCGGGACGGTCCGACAACACATACCCAAACTCGGAAACAATCTTTCTCAGGTCCTCTTTCTCAGGTCCTCCTTCACTTACGCTAGGCGCTAGGTTTATCTGCTCCCGGATTACTTTCGATCCCCCTTCGATCACCTCACTAGAACTCAAATTTTCTGCTTCCTCTTCCTCTGAAGCCTTCAACAGCTGATTTACGACCGCTTGATGTTGAACATTGGGTTTTATCAAGTTGTAAATTTTGTTCTGCCGCCTTCCTACTTGCACCTCATAAGTTGTATCGCAAGGCTTCGATAATACTTTGGCGGGCCCTTCCCAATCAACCTCAAGCTTGTTCCTTTTTGGTGGCTGCAGCCGCATTACCTGATTATCAACTTCAAAAGCGCGCTTCTTCCCCGATTTCTCGTAGTGCTCCTTCGACAGCACTTTTGCCGCGTTTTTCTGGCTTTCCACTCGCGCTTCAATTTGGCTTTCCACTAGCGCTTCAATCGAGAGATCCTCACGCTGCCCTCGAATGAGCGTCTCTCGATCAACTCTCGGCACCTCGCTCCAACTTTCCGCTACAGGCGAGAGCGTTGCAACCCTCTCGCTCTGACTCAATGGCGCCACGTCGTCTCCCCCAGCGCATACCGCGCCGGCCGCTCCCGCGATGGGCCGCTCGCGTGACTGCTCACATGACTCATGCGGAAAATTTCCTTTCTGGGGTTCCGTCGACCCGCCGACAAGGTCACTTGAGAGTTCACCGCATGGAACCAAGTCAAGCTTCCGCGAAAGCTTTCGCGCTTGCGATCGCGTGGGAGCCATGCACGCTAAGTTGGGGAAGAACGATTTGCCCTGCTCTTTGAGAAGCTGCTCCGAGTTGTTGGAGAAAAGATAAGAAAAACGACCATTCAGCGCGGCAGACACAGCCGCTTCGGTGCAAAGCTTACCGAACGGGCCTTCAATGACAACGGTGGCGATTGGTAAGCGAACACTCTGCTCCTCGGCGACTTGCCTGATCCACGCGCATTCTCCTGTGAAGTCATCCGGAGACACCAATGAAGGATGGACAACGTCCATGGTTGCCGCTGAGTCTCTAAGTGCTCGGCACGTTTTCTCATTGACCCTAATTTCTTGGAGATACGGCTCCAACAACCGCATGTTTTTTTCTGATTCTCGGATCGTTGCGAAGGCAAACTTTTCCTGACAGTTTCTCGCGATGTGCCCTTCCTTTTTACAGTTGTAGCAGATTAGCGGCTTCCGTTTGTTTTCCGGTTCTAATGCCTGTGTGGTAGAAACCTCACTCGATTTCTCCGCTTCTGTTTGCCCTTCC